GCAGCCCCGGGGGACCCAAGCAGCACCCCCTTTTTAGGCCTGGGGGTTGCAAGGGGGGTGTTGCTTGCTTTGGCTTTTGTAGTTTGGGCCACACCCAGCAGTGCTCAGGGGTTACTCCTGGCTCTGCACTTAGGAATTACTCTTGGTGCTTGGAGAACCATACGGATGCCGGGGATTGAACCCACGTCTACTGCGTGCAAAGTGAGCACCCTACCTGCTGTACTATCGCTCGGGGCCCTGTGAGCATGGGGGGGGGGGGCAGGTGAGTACCACTAGAAGAGTTGCCTGGGCTTTCTGAGTACCATTTGTGATCCTTTCCCCCCACCCTACACCCCCAGTGCCAAAGAAGAAAATAACAGAAACGTAAGGTTGAAATGAGCTTGTGGAACCCTTCTGCTGTGGAGGACACCTTGAGGGTGCCGGGCTCCCAGCTGTGGGCTTCGGGCTGCTCTTGGGAGTGCTTGCCTCTGCTGCAGGGTCTTAGATCGGCCTGGGCGCCATCAGGAACACCCTCCCCACCCTGCCCCGGATTTCTCTGTGGGAATGTCCATGAACTGGGCTGCTGGGAATATCTAGGAGGGAAGCCACAGCTGACCCCTCCCGTCTTGGCTTGCCTCTCTCTGTCGAGTGGGGACTCAACTCACTTCTGCGTGTTGATAGGGTCCCTGGTGGTTTTGTTTGCTTGTTTGATCTGTTTTTGTTTCTGTTTCAATACACCAAACCCTGCTCGGGGCTTACTCTTAGTTCTATGCTCAGGGATCATTCTTTGGGGGGTCAGGGGACACACCTGGAGATGCTCCGAGACCACGTGGGATGCTAAGGATCGAACCAGGTCAGCTGCATGCAAAGCAAGCTCCCTGCCTGCAGTACGGTGACTTAGGCCCTCTCAGGGATCACCCTTGGCAGTGCATAGCGGATCATAGTTGGTGCTGGCAATCCAACAGACCTCTTGGTACACGGAAGACAAATGCCCAGCCCTCTCTACAGCTCCGGAGCCCTGTGCAGGTTTCACTTCAGTGACAGATCACAGTGTCCTTTCAATATTGTCCTTTTATTTTTTTTTTCATAGATGTATACTGCTTTGTAATTAGCAGTCTACTTTCACACCTTATATCGTTCTTAAAGGAACTTGATGTGAAGTTAGTAAGAGTTTTTGTCCCATATGACAGATGGCAAGGTCATACGTCTCCTTAAAAAAAATAATTACACGTTAGGGCAAGGGATTGTGGCTCGGTGGCAGAGTCACAAGTTGCATGCGTGACGCCCTGGGTTTAGTCCTTGGCACCACACCCCCAAAAAAAGTGCATTTTGTAAAAAGTGTGGGCCAGAGGCCTGGGAGTGCAGGAGACCCTGCCCTTGCCTTGGTTTCCGCAGCTCTGGATTCCGCTCTGGTTTGAATCCCTGGCGACATGTCGTCCTCCGAGCACAGCTGGGTGCGGCACGTTCCTCTCCTCCAGCCCCCTTGATGATAATGGCAAATTCTGTACGTGACTTGCCTTCCGCTCCTGTTGGACAGCGCTGCTCTGGCCAGAGGCTGACAGCTCCAGCCTCAGATCTAGCCAGATGCCTGTTTCTATAAATAAAACGTGACTGGAACAGTCACACCCATTCCATTATCCTTCAGATGTCTGGCTGCTGTCATCCGACGTGGCATCGGGCCTGCGGTGGTTGTATGTAGAACCAGTAATGTGTCCTGGACCGCCGGAAATTCTTGGTTTTGTTTTCTTGGGGTAGTTGACAGAGATGTTCCCCTTTTCCTCCCGCTGAAAGTATGATTAACAGAAATTAGGTTCTGAATAATTAGAGGAGGAATCTCTTTCGTGCCGCGGTGAAAATGTTCTGGTATGGTGATTGTTGGGCAATTTTGAATAGACTAGAACCACTGAATCATACCCTTGAAATTTAAATATTATAGTTACAGAGGAGATCTTGGATTTTCATAACTGGGAATGTCTGGTTTTGTAGCTGTAATAAAGCATAGTCCTAAATGTGCTGATGGTGAAGAATTGCAAACTGGAAAGAACCCCTCAAGGAGAAGGAAACTTTGTGAAAACAGTTGTTTCTTTGAGGTTACCTGGGCAGGAGGGCAGGGCACCCGGTCATGCCTGGGGGCTGTGCGGTGCCAGGATCGCGCTCTGGGCCCCCGCATGCCAGGCAGAAGCTCAGACCTCTGCGTTTCCTCTCTCACTCTCAAGGTCTCCTCGTATCAGAAATCCTGGCGTTGTTTGGGGGCAGTCTTGAGGGGCTTCTCCTGAGTCTGCTCAAGGGTCTCGGAGGGACTGTGCAGTGCTCAGGCTTCAAGCCTCCTCTGTCGCCTCAAGGGCGTGGCATTAGGAGGGGACAGGTAGTAGAGCAGGGTGGGGCACTTGCCTTGGGCACAGCTCAGTTGCATTTGATGCCCAGTTTTGCATCTAGTCCACCAAGCACAGCCAGGTTTGGCCGCCAAACTTTTTTTTTTTTTTAATTCATTCACGGGGCTGGAGCAATAGCACGGTGAGTAGGGCATTTGCCTTGCCCGTGGCTGACCTGGGTTCGATTCCCAGCGTCCTATATGGTCCCCTGAGCACCGCCAGGGGTAATTCCTAAGTGCAGAGCCAGGAGGAACCCCTGTGCATTTGTGCATTGCCAGGTGTGACCCAAAAAGCAGAACAAATATTTTCAATCACATAGTTGGGTACATGGAGATAGCAAAGCAGGTGAGGTGCTTGCCCTGAAGCAGCTGGCCCAGTTTGCACCTCTGCCACGTGCCTTGCATGGAGCTAACCCTGCTTCTGTTCCACACAGACCCCGAGCATTTCCCAGTACAATCCTGCAGACATCGTCCTTGCAGTCCTGATTCCCAGCCTTGGGTTGAACTCCTGGCCCTTGGACTGGAAATGGCTGAGAAGTGCCATCATTGGAGTGCGCTTGCCACGGGTTTTGATTGGGGGGGGGAATAGTAGTTGTTCGTTGTGTCCTTTTATTACCTACTGCTTGTTCATTTAAAAAAAGACCTGTCAAAAGACAGTCCTTTTAATTATAAGTTAAACTTTAGGATGGATCACGATCACGATCATCCTGTTGTTCGTCGATTGCCTCGAGCAGGCACCAGTAACGTCTCCTTGGTCCTGGCCCTGTGAAGTGCTCTTTCAGGGTTAGGAGAATGAGACCCATCATTGTTACTGGTATTTGGCAGAATGAGGACGTCACCGGGAGTTTGCCAGACTCTGCCGTGCGACTTGAGGATAGTCGCGAAATGAGTGAATACAAAGCCTTAGTAAAAACACCCGTTTGTGAATATCCCCTGAGTGTGGAAGTCATGCTGAAATGTTTCATGAGCCTTTGAAAGGAGGAATTGTAATGGCAGAGGGAGGTGGAAGATCATTCATAGCTTGTTTGTAGGGGTTTTTTTTCCTTTATTTTGATTCGTTTGTTTAGGGAGAGAGGGGTTCCCACCCAGCAGTGCTTAGGGCTTACTCCTGGCCCTCTGCTCAGGATTCAAACCTGGTCCATCCTCATGCAAAGTAAGCGCCCTTTGCCCTTTTCACTGGACCCTGGCCCGGCATTTTTCCTTCAGTGAGTTAACATCTGTATCACTGTATCGCTGTCATCCTGTTGTTCATCGATTGCCTCGAGCAAGCCCCAGTAACATCTCCTTCGTCCTAGCCCTGAGATTTTAAAAAGTGCCATATTCGAGGCTCTTTCAGGGTCAGGAGAATGAGACCCATTATTGTTACTGGTATTTGGCACATTGGGTACGCCACGGGAAGTTTGCCAGACTCTGCCGTGTGGGCAGGCTACATTCGGTAGCCTGCCAGGTTCTCCAGAGAGAGAACTAGATAAGATGCCGCATTCGTGGTTCCACGCTTCCAGGAGCTGGGTTTTATAGTCTCTGGGTCTTGGCCGTTGGTGGGATTACACGGCACCAGGGTCAGTTGGTGGGTGTGACGCCTACGTACTGCAGAGCCCCGGCAGCTGAGGCCCTCCGGTTCCAGCCACAGCCTTGCTTAAGACCAGTCTCCACACCTTCGGACGGGCCTCACGCATGAAGGAACCGGCAGAGGAACCAGGGTGTGCGGGACCCAGGACATAGATCTCCAAGCCTGCTCAGATTAGGACTGGGGCCTCCACCCAGATCCCCATCTTCCAGTATGTAGATGTTACACCCGCCAACTGTCCCGGGCGCCACGTAATCCCATCCACGGCCAAGACCCAGAGACTCTAAAACCCTGCTCCCAGAAGAGAACAGCGCAGTCTCCTGCCTCCGCGCCTGGCCTTCCTCCCCGGGGCCCCTTGGAGGAGGGCGGGTTGAGTTTCCCGCCCCACCTCGAGCAGAGCCCGGGCAGCTGAAGCCCTCCGGTTCCAGCCACAGCCATGCTTAAGACCACTCTCCACACGTTCGGACGAGTTAACGTCTACCGTATTCAAATTCTAGATTTTTCACATTGCTCCAACTGACAAAATATCTGCTTTGTTCATTGATTCATTAAATGTTATGCACAAGGTTGCCAGAATTCTGCTTTATGAAATCCAAAGATCAGTGGTTGCTACATTGTTTTCCTTCTGGACACTGGCAGATGGTTTTCATTTTACTACGTGCTAGTTTAGTATCATATTCATGGTGCAAGTTAGGATAATAAGATGCCAAATGGCACAGACTTTGGAGCCAGGCAAAGCTCGTGGTCCCAATTACAGTTCTCCCTAACTTAATGTGACCAGTTTATTCCATACTTAGCATCTAAGTCTTCGTTTTCTTTTCTCTAAAATGAAAGTAATATGCTCTCCGGTAAGGTTTCTAGAAAATAAATCAGAAAATAAATGTTAAGCACTTATTTAAGCACAGAGTAATCACTCAATAAATAGTAATGTACAATTATTGCCGTTTATATGTTTTTTTTATTGAACACCCTTTATTTTTTGTATGGGTTGTTAACATCATGCGTTTCATTTTGTATTTTACTGACTCCGACCTTTTTTGAAAAAACAGTGAAATGTTAAATAACATTTTGTTTTACTTTCAGTCAAAGAAAAATAAGAAGAAATCAAAGTCAGATGCTAAAGCAGTGCAGAGCAGTTCACGCCACGATGGAAAGGAAGTTGATGAAGGTACTTGAGCAAGTTGAACGGACTCTAGAAAACATTTTCATTCTTGTTGCCAAGCTGCATTCTATCAGAGATGCGTTTATTTTACTTAATCTTCTCTCTTGCTCCTCTAATAGTTACAGATTTTAATGTACACGTCTGTATCAGACATTGTTGGCAAACTTTTTAAAATGTGCATTAAAGATCTCTAGTAGTGCTTGGAAATTTTAGGTCTAGCTTGGAATCTTGAGCACGTGGGAAGTCATTCCGTTTGATCTGCTTCCTGGCAGAACCCTTGGGGCTCCCATTCTTTCCCCGTGGTCCTTGGACGTGCCGTTCTGAGGCCAGAAATGAATCTGTGCGTGAGCAGTTGGCTGACCTTGCCCAGCAACACCCATTTGGTAGTGATCTCCAATGATTCTCCTACCAGTGTTATTAGCAAGATAAAAAGATAACACAAGATGACTTGTCCATAATTTTTGAAGTCATAATGACAGATCAAAAACTATACACTTAGACTGGAGCTATAGCACAGCGGGTAGGGCGTTTGCTTTGCACGCGACCGACCCGGGTTCGATTCCCAGCATCCCATATGGTCTCCCGAGCACCGCCAGGGGTTATTCCTGAGCACAGAGCCAGGAGTAACCCCTGTGCATTGCCGGGTGTGATCCAAAAAGAAAAATATATATATATATATATATACACACACACAGACTAAATAATGCTCATTAGATGTGTATAACAACATAGGATCAGAATGAGTTCTCAATAGTTTCCATAGTCAACAGGTGTTCGTCATGATATTTTGTGTGCCCACCCCCCAAATGAAAGACTACTACAACTTTTCTGAGTCTTCCCCTTCCTCACTGAATAACTTTCTTTTTCTGGGGCTGTGTCAGGAGCCTGGGAAACTAAAATTAGTCACAGAGAGAAACGACAGCAGCGTAAGCGCGATAAGGTGCAGACTGATTCTGCTCCATTGGATTCAACTCTCCCTGGGATAGAAAATACCATCACAGTATCCACCGAGCAACTTACAACCGCATCATTTCCTGTTGGTTCCAAGAAGAATAAAGGTATATTAGTGGAACATTGATCCAACTTCCTTCAATACGATGTACAAAATGACATGTCGAAATCAGACTACTTTGAATTTCTTACCTAATGTGCTGATATACCCTTCTTCATGAGAGCATTGTGGACCCAATACCAACAGCGTTCCCTTGCCATGCTGCCGAATGGGTGGCCTGTTCCGTTCGCTCGCCTTTGCCTTAAGTCAGAGAAGATGATTGTTGCCTCTCTTACCTTCTGTGTTTTGCTTACTTCAGTGCTCTTCATCTTCATTTTTTTAATACTAGAAAGGACTTTTTTTTCCCCCAGTGGCTTATTTGCTCTTTTTCTTCATGTTGAGTGTTTTTGTAAGCAAGCATGTTCTGGGCGGTGCAGGTTTGATCTGAATTTCTTACCACGCCGAGTTTCTGAGAGTGCCTTAGATTCCGGCCGAAACGAGACTCCAACTTGAAAGGTTATTGAGCTGTATCCTAAGCATTTTAAATGCTCAACGTGTCCGATATGGATGCCTTTTTGGTAGGTTTTTGCATTGCCACCCTGTCTGTGGCAGGACACAGTCCCTGTGTCTGTGGGGCCTTGCCGGCTAGACCTTCTGTCTCCTCGTTCCCCCACTTCTCTCCAGACCACTTGTTTTGTTTTGTTTTGTTTTGTTTTTGATATTTGGGCCACATCCATGAGTGTTCAGAAATTCCTCCTGATGGGACTCAGGGAAACATGGGCTGAGGGGCATCAGGGATGGAACCCGGGTTGGCCGGTGCAAAGCAAACACCCTTCCCCCTTGATTCTCTGACCCCTCCAGGCCACTTTCTTAGTGTCAGTGCCCTTTCCCGCCATTTTTGTTGGTAACTCGGTAGAATTGATTGCTGTGGTCCAGCAATGACTTCTACTCGTCCATTTCACCGTCACATCCTAGCCTTGCCTTACTGGTTCGGGCCTCTCCCACTGTCTCGCGCATGCTTTCCTTGCGAGGGCCGACGTCTCATCATGCACATCAGGAAACATTGTGCTTTTGGTGTCAGGCGATGTCTTCTTTAAAACGTCTCTTGTCATATTTCCTAAGTCCTGGACCCAAATGCTGACAAAGTTCCTCCTAGGTGGATGTATTTGCTTCCAGGATTGTTGAAGGCAGCTGGGATTGCTGGCAAAGTTGAATCCAATTACAGATCCCAGTTCTCCGTGACATTCGAAGCCCATGCACTCTATACTCAGGACAGTTTTCCACATCTTACATTGGTATCTAAGTTGACTTAAAGTATGCTAGGGAGTTCAATTCCTTTAGGACATGTGAAAAGTGTTGTGATTAAAAATGAACTCCAGTGTAAGAATGCACTATTTGAAAGAGCAAGAATGCAGTATTTGAAAGAGCAATGTGTTACAAATAAAAAGTAAAAAGTAATTTATCTTTTACTCCGAATAGAATGTGCATAGTAGCCTTTGTAATAATGTTTTAAAAGATGCATTTCTATTCCAACCAGGTGATTCTCATCTAAATGTTCAAGTTAGCAACTTTAAGTCTGGAAAAGGAGATTCTACACTTCAGGGTGAGAAAAATTACATGTAATTTAAATGGAAGGTTTATCAAAACTGAAGCATGTATATATACGTGTGTGTGTGTGTGTGTGTGTGTGTGTGTGTGTGTGTGTCCCTTGCATCAGTGACATAGGTGGGGGAAATGCCTTTAAAATTGTTTTTCATAACAAACACAGTCCAAAGATTTTGCAAAATAAAAAGTTTAAAAGAAAAATTAATCCCACACTGTCAGTACCACTGTGATTGGTATGTTCCACGTTTTCCTCTCCACCACAGAAAACATTCTTTTGATATGAGTTTACGTGTAAGCCTGGTTCTTAGCATTTAAGCAAGTCAAGAGAGGGGATTTTGGATTTGGAGAGACTTGTGTTTAATGTAACTGAAGATAGAGATAAAGGCTTGTCTCCTTACTATTTAGTAAAAAGTCTTAATACCTGTAATCCTTTAAACTGTTTTCATAATATCCAGTATTTTGGAATAAATAAATTCAGGATACATGCTACTTCACAAACAGGAATTATAAAGGTTGGATCAAGAGGCATCATGTATCTTATATGGAAACATTTATTAAAAAAAATAGAAAAGCACCTTCTCATTGCAGACGTGGGGCTTCTTTTTGGTGTTGGTTTTTGGGTCCCTTCTGGGGATGACAGAGATTGACGTTGGGTCAGCCGTGTTGAGGGCAAACTCCATACCTGCTCGTCTATCTCCCTGGCCCTAGAATACTTAAATAAAAGCATGTACTTATTTCTAAACTCCACACACAGTTCAATGACCAAGAGCATGGTTTGTATGCAGAAGGCTTGTGTCCATCCCTGACTTTGAATAGTCCCCAAATAACCGCTGGGTGTGACCAACCAGTAATAACAAAAGAAATATTTTATTTGATTTTAATCTACAGCCAGATTTTAGAGCCACGGTCTCATACATAATATAGCTGGGATTTTCTTTTTCTCTTTGGGTCACACCTGGCAATGCTCGGGGGGTTACTCCTGGCTCGGCACTCAGGAATTACTCCTGGAGGTGCTCAGGGACCATTTAGGACACCGGGAATCAAACCCGGTCAGCCGCATGCAAGGCAAATGCCCTACCTGCTGTCCTATTACTCCAGTTCCGGGAATTTTTGAAGGGAAAAGCCTGTTTTCAAGTCTTCATATTGGCGGGTGGTATTCTGGCTGCGACAGAGGGCGTAGATTCCAAGTTGGCTCTGTCACGCTTCTTTGAGCAAGTCATTTGACTGTTAAACGTCTCTTTAAATCTATGTTCGGTACGGACCTACTCTTAGTTTTTAAATCAACAATTCTTTATCATGGGCACGTACCTTCTTAAGTTCTTTGTATTTTCATGCTCGTGCTCGCTTCGGCAGCACATGCACTAAAATTGAAACGATGCAGAGAAGATTAGCATTGGCCCCTGCCCAGGGATGACACACAAATTCGTGACGCGTTCCATATTTTAAAGGAACAAAAAATTAATGCTCAAGCAATTGAGGACAGGAAGAGTGAGTAACTGGGCATTTGAAGAAACTTGGAAATACCCGCCTTGATCGAGGAGGCACGTAAACATCGTAAGTCTTTCTTTTCTTTCTTCAAGTTTCTTCGGGACTGACTGAGAACCTCACTGTAAATGGAGGCGGCTGGAATGAAAAGTCGCTGAAGCTCTCCTCCCACGTCAGTGCAGGTGAGGAGAAGTGGAACTCCGTCGCACCTGCTCCTGCGGGCAAGAGGAAGGCGGAGCCGGCTGCGTGGGGCCAGGACCCGGGCGACGCAGACGCCAACGGGAAGGACTGGGCAAGGAGCTGGAGTGACCGCTCCCTGTTTTCTGGCATCGGTAAGAATCGTTCGAAAATTGCTCATCCGCTGCATTTCGAATTTTTCGGAATTTTTGTGAAGCCCGAGTAGAAAAGTGAGTGATGCCATACAGAAACAGTAGTAACGATGAACTCACTCAGATCCTCGACACGGAACTAAGTGGCAGCTAAAAGTGAATAATCCCATTTTTTACTCTTTCTGCTCTCACGTTTGACTGTCAGTATAGTTCACGGTCGTGAGCAGGTGTGTTTCATTATGTAATAAGTAGGATGTGTGAGCAGACTTCTTGATTCATTTCCGCAGTTGTACAAATAGGTAAACAGGAGTGCGATTTATAGCGTCTGTTTCAGTATTCATTTTCAGTCTTCACAAATGCCTGACTGCGACTACCTACCCACCCTGAATTTTGGAGATGAGCTTAGTTCTGGGCCGGAGCAGCCGTCCAGTGGGTAGGGCCTGGCCTTGCCCTTGCCCAGCTCCGGTCACCCCGGCACCACATAGGATCCCCCAGTTGCCGGGATTAAGCCCTGAACACTGCTAGGGATGGCACAAAAGCAAAGCAGCTCATTTCTGTCTGTTTTTGTGGGATTTGGACATGGCTGGGGCCTCTGGGGTGCATCCTGGGCCTCACGTGTGCAGGGAGGGGCCTCACATGCTGCTGGGCCCGTGTGTGTGTGTGTGTGTGTGTGTGTGTGTGTGTGTGTGTGTGTGTGTGTGGTGTGTGTGTGTGCATGTATGTTAGGAAAGAGATTAGGGTTAGTAGAAAAAGGCACAAAGAAGTAAAAATCCATTGTATCACACCACTCTGAGAGGCACAGTTGGGGGGGGTGTTAATCGTCTTTTCCTGCGTACATTTTAGCTGTGGGTTTTGTTTTAGAAGGGGTTTTTTGTTTTCTAATAGAAACCAGTTGTACATTTCTATGTCCTCCTCGACTTAATAGTATTCATTTTCTTGGCTTCACAAGTTTAATAGTATAATATATCGCCTAAACGTCACAAATTAACCATACCTATCAGATGACATTCTCCCTCTTCCTTTTTTAACCATTGTAAACATGTTTGCATTGAAGATCTTTTTCATTTAGGGTAATTTCATTTAGGTAATGATGATCACTCTCAGAATTACCCTAAATGTGTCCTGTAGGGTAGCCAGAGGGTTTTTCTAATAGCATTGGTACTGAGCATAGCCTTCCAGTGTTGAATAGTGATTTTTTGTTAATATTTTCTTAATTTGGTCATCAAAATGAATTATTTTGGCTGACTTTAAAACTGGGCTGGAGGGGCTGGAGAGAGAGCACAGCGGGTAGGCCAGTCGCCTTGCACGCGGCCGACCGGAGTTCAGTCCCTGGCATCCCGGCATCCCACATGGTCCCCCAAGCACCGCCAGGAGTGATTCCTGAGTGCAGAGCCAGGAGTAACCCCTGGGCATCGCTGGCTGTGGCCGAAAAAGAAAATAAATAAATAAATAAAGGACTCGAGTGCAAGCCCCAGCACTCTATGTCTGTTCTTTTTTCAATCTTAGAGAAAAGTGCATGTTGACTTTCGTCCCAGAAGCAAACACTACATCATTTGCTAATAACTGTTCTTAAGCTTACTCTCCCCGCTTCCCCCTGTTCAAAAATTCTGTAGAAATACCAGAATTTAGGGGGCTGGCGCGATAGCACAGCGGGTAGGGCGTTTGCTTTGCATGCGGCCGACCTGGGTTCGATCCCCGGCATCCCATATGTTCCCCCGAGCACTGCCAGGAGGAATTCCTGAGTGCAGAGCCAGGAGTCACCCCTGAGCATCGCTGGGTGTGACCCAAAAAGGCAAAAAAAAAAAAAAAGAAATACCAGAATTTGTATGGAAGGAGAGTAATCCCTAAAATCCCAGCCTTATTTTTGTCAGTGAAAAGGTATAAATTTCTGCCATAAAAGTAGCCTTCCTTCCACAGTTAATAAAAAGCAGTCAAGTTTGAAGTAATACTAAGAACTTTCATCTTTTGAGTTACGTGCAGTTTACTTATAAAAGTCAGAGCATTTTCGGAAAGCTGAAGAGCTAGGTCAGTGGGTTAGGTGCATGTCTTGCTGGCGCCTGGCGCAGATTCGATCCCCCGCGTCATACGTGGTGTGTTCCGTGTGTGCGCTCTCCCCCACTCCCCACTGCTGCCAGGAATGAGCCCTCAGCATAGTGGGTGGAGTCCAGAAACCGAATAATCATTCTTCCATGGGGAGGGAGGGTGGAGTGACAGTACAGTGGGTAGGACATTTGCTTCGCACGCGGCCACCCAGGCCCAATCCAGCCGTCCCATATGGTCCCCCAAGTCTACCAGGAGTAATTCCCGAGTGCAGAGTCAGGAGTGACCCCTGGGTATGGGAAAAATGATAATAATAGTTATATCGAATTTTCATGATTAGCTACTTTTCGGTAATGTTTGCTACAGATCAAGCCAAGCAGCAGATTAAAGAGTTCCTGCCTACGTGGATCAGCGCCATTGTAGACAGAGAATGGTAGCGGTGTAGAATCGGGGCTGGAGCAAGTTAGAGAGCCAGATGTAACTGGCATCGTGTCTAATGTTGTGTTCCTTAAGATCTCTTAAACCAGAAAGAAATCTCATGCCGTCACGGTTAAATGGAGCGGTCACTCTGAATCAGATAGACCTATTTGGTTTATGTGATCATTTCTGCATACTAAATTTTGTGGAAATTGGCCAGTTACCTAATTTGTATGCCCTTCACGTTAAGTAGTTGTGAATGTGGCTGTAGTGAAGGCCAGGGTCAGCTCAATGCCTGGTCATCGGTGGCGGCAACTTCGTTCTGCCAGATAACAGGGTGGTTTGCTGTTGTGGAGAGAGCTGTAGTCGTTGGAAATTGTCCTGCTTTCCTGCCCAGCATTTATAGGTATTTCATAAGTGGTAGCATTTACTAAGAAAAATTAATAAAAACTGATTTCTAAGATTCTTTTAAAATAGTCTCATCACAGTTCGTCAGTCTAAACCTGTATCTTAAGTCACATTGCAAATGGAAGTTTCCAAGTGATGTTGTTTTATGTTCACAGCTGCTTGGTCTAGTGTGGACAGGGGTGAATGCCTCTAAACAGAATTCTGCTGCTTTGGCATCTCTCACACTTTGCTGTTCCTGGTTTGTGGAAACAGTCTTTCATGTAGTGAACAGAAAAAAATTTTTTTTTGGTTTAAATTAATACCAGCACTTGCCATTCGAAATCCTCCTGTCAGGGACAAGCATAAATGACAGACGGCTAGAAAGAGGCAGGTCTTCGCACGAAGAGGAAGAAGGGCCAGAACTCCGAGCTGCCAGTTCCTGTCTGCAGCGAGGCTGGGGGGGTCCGCGGCTGCCCTGGTGGGAGGCGCCATGAGCAAGGGCGCTGTGGCCTTCCCTCCGGCGCGCCTCTTGCCCTTCAGCCGGAGTCTGGCCTTTCGGTTGTCTGCCAGTCGTTGGGGATTTCCAGCTGAGCCTTTCCGGTAAGGCTCGGTCTTCCATGACTTTTTGAGTATGTATTTGGAAACTACACGTTGCTCGTGAGCGGTATCATTCTTATTATGGTACAGCACTCTCTGTATACGCATTACGTAAATGAATATACATTTTATTAGTCATCTAGATGCTGTATTCAGATGTTTGAATGTTGCGGTAAGAGGAGTTTATAGAATAAGCGTGGTTCATCCCAGATAGGTCCACTGTCCTAAGTGAGTGATCCCACACTCTAGAACGAGGATCAGCAGGCTTCTGCGAAGGGCTCAGCGGCCAATATTGTAGACTTGGTGACCAGCTATTGCAGTTGTCCCATTTTGTCCCAATGGCAGCAACTTAATTCTGGTGTGATATCAGGAAATCACTCAGCGGGCGTATAAGCGTGAATGCATCTAGTTCTGAAATACTGTTGCAGGTGTCTTCCCAAGAAAGAAAAGCTTTACATTTGAACATGTAAAGCCTCGTCTTGTCCCGTGTACCACATTGAAAAGCAGTTGTGGCGTGCTTGATCGTACAGCTAACCCTGCTCGACACAGATGCACAAACTGCTTCGCGGAGATGCTTTTCCCTTCCTCCTGTTTAGAGAAAACAGCATGGATTGCTAAAGACATGGCAGTCAGGTTATTCCGCTGCCTCTAAGCAGTCACTGCGCCAGTAACGCTGCAGAATTTATAGGATAATGCTATTAGCATTTAGGTGAGAGTGCCCGTGGCTTTCGAGTGTCCGTCACCGGAGTGGTAGCGAGATCATCTCTAACCAATGGGAATGCGAAGGTCAGTAAGAATGCTCGTGAGAAGCGATTCTGTGCAGCACTCACTGCCCGTCAGAGCCATTTCTTCTGTCAACGACTGAGAGGAACCTAAGGTGAAAATCCTGGTGCAGACGGTGGGGGTGGGGGGGAACGAACGAGAGTGAGAGAATGAGAGAGAATGAGTGTGTGTAGAGGGAACATACATGCATACATGTGCATTCCAAAATATGTCACTGTTGAGAAGGATTTGACCATGGGGCTGTGAAATCCGTATTCCGCAACATTTAGTCTCGGCTACAGATAGTAGGTTACTCGAACTTGGATCCTGTTCCATTTTTCAAAAACGCTTCGCAAACTCCTGCGGCGATTCCCACTCCCGGAAGCAGGAACAGCATAAAGCCTCCAAAGGAGCATATTCCGGGCTGGAGGGACAGCGCAGCAGGTGGGGCGCTTGCTGGGTACACCGCCAGGGGGGCCCCCTCGCCTCGCCAGGAGTGACCCCAGGGCCCCGCAGCGTGTGGACCCAAGCCAAAACCAAGGGTCCATGACAGTAGCCTTTCCTCTTTCGCTGCCCCCAGCGTCAGTCTGCTGTGAGCTCCAGGCGCAGCTCCCGGACGGACGGTCTGTTGGTTCCGGTTGGTTCCGGTTTCCTCCGGTCGCAGCTTCTTCGCCTCTCCCTCAGGGTTCACTGTGCGGGGCTCCTCCGGCATGGCCAGGGTTTCTTTTTTGCTTTATCATTTTATGTTTAAAAATTTGTAAATGGCCTGTTGAAGTGCATCTTATCATGAAAGCAAAAACACATTTCTGGTCAGAAAAGTAGATGGTCTCGAATTGTCGCCACTTCTACTTGTACTTACGTCTAATGTCTCAGTTTTTCTTTCTAGGAGAACTACGATCTCCGCTTGCAAAGTATAGCTCTGTTGTTATGAAGCATCGTAGAAAATTCCACTTTTAATTTTATTGCCTTCGTTTCCATTCAAGGGTCTCCTGCTGAGCCAGTTTCTCAATCTGCCACTTCTGATTATCAGTGGGATGTTAGCCGTAATCAGCCCTATATCGATGATGAATGGTCTGGGTTAAGTATGTCCTTTTAAAAATTATAAGTTTTTTTCCAGAGTTCTCTTCCTAAGCACCCTAAGTTCATGCTTTATGTTTCCGTTTTCTAATTTCTCATCATTTAGGCCATAGTGATATGATAGCAAATGTAGTGCTTGTAAGCTCACCCTTAAAACCGGTAGCATTGATACTACATGTACGAGGGCAGCTGGAGTGATGTGCTGCAGGCCGGGTACTTGCCTTGCATGCGAGCAGCTGAGGTTCGATCCCCGGCACCCATGTGGTCCCCCAAGCTTGCCAGGAGTGGCTGAGTACAAAGCCAGTAGTGAGCCCTGAGCACTGCCAGCTGTGCGCCCCCCCCCCCCCCATTTTTTTTAAAAAAGGCTGCATTTGTTTTTCGCGATTAGGGGACCATTTAAACATAAGGTTTTCTTAGAGTTACTCAGTAGTTCTCGTTTTTAAAACTTAGGTTTTAAGCGAATGTTCTTTTCCCTGTCCTGATTTTTTTCAATGGATAATAGGTCTGGATTTCTAATTTCCAGTAGAAGCATAAGAAGACTCAGGTCGTGCATCCGGGAAACGGGAAAAGGCAATAGAGCCATTGTTTTGTTTTGGGGGGCCGGGGGGGGCATCGGCCAGCTCAGCGCTGCTCCGAGACTGTACTGTTCCTGACTTTGTGCGCGGGATTACCTGTGGCGGGTGGCTCGGGCCCCTGTGCAGGCCGGGCCCGCGCTGGCTCCCCTGCCTGGCACCCTGCGCTGTCTCAGTCTCGGGGAACCGAAGAGCGGCCGTGCCATCTCTGGGCGGGGCGGGGGGGGGGGCAGTGTCAGCACAGCCAAGCAGGCCGGGGAGTGCAGCGCTCGGCGCAGCAGGGGGAGGATGCTGCGTCCCCCCCATGCCAGGCCTGTGTCCCCGAGGTCAGCCTTTCCCCAGCCTCGGTCTCAGCATCCCTGGACTGTCGGTTGCCGTGTGGGAGTCTCTGTTCTGAGAGAAGGTTCCATGGCTGAGCACCTGCTCGGCATAAGGGCGACCCGGATGCTCGCTGGCAGCACCGGTCCCCTCAGCAAGAGGTGAGCCCTCTGACAGAAGAGACCCCCGCCCCAGCGCCTCTTCCGGGCCTCCCTGCGTCCTGGTCTTCAGTGACCTTGCTCATGCCCGCCTGCACAAACCTGGCAGCCAGAACCTCCGTGCATGTGAACTTGGTCCTTAAATCGATTGTTTTACAAAGTAGAAATTCCCTTTCCTCCACTCGGGGCACGAGAAACCAAGGCAGAGGAAAGTCGCGCGAGTTTCCGCATCCCTTGACCATCCGTGGAGGGGGTCTCGGGAAGGCAGTCTGACCGCAGTGTTCGTGCTCGCAACCACTCCACAGTCCAGCCTCAGTGAGCGTGGCAGAGCGCCAGATGCACCGCTGCCCCTGCCCTACTTGAGCCCGGCACTTGCGCAGAGAGCGCAGGCGAGAGGGGTCGCTCGGTGTGAGGAGCCTTGAGCCGCAGGACCCGAGCGCGGTTGCCTGGTTGAATCTGCAGGACCTGAGCTGTGAATTGGAGCAGATAATCTGTTGGATGTTTTCATAGGCTGTTAGGCTTTAATGAGGTCGCGAATGAAAGCGGGCTCTCTGATTTTTAAAAACTTGTCTATGGAGGCGGGGGTGCACTTGGGGCTCAGGGTTTACTCCTGGCTCAGTGCTCAGAGGATCCTCTGGGGTTCAGGGATCGAACCCAGGTTGGCCACATGCAGGCAAGCACCCTACCCACTGTACTGTCACTCTGGCCCCTCTTTTTTTTTTTAAAAAAAAAAAATGTATTCTATTACATAAATCCCAAAGGTATTCTAGGCGGTTTTGAGAAAGCAGTTGTCTGTTGAGAAGAGTGTGGGGGTGGGTGCCAGGGGTGGGCGCTCTGCCGTGTGGGGAAGGAAGGCAGCTGCAGAGAGAGGGACTGAGGCTGAGGGTGGGGTGAAGCACTCCTCGGGAGAGAGTCGGTGCAGACAAGCAGGCAGCTCTCTGCGCCTTCTGCCTGGACAGAGGAGCACCGCCTTGCTCCCTGCCTGCCCCCTGCCATGCAGAGGGGGCTGCACGCACACGGGTGCCCCTCAGGCACAGGCCACGTGGTGGGCCCTCTGGCCGAGTGTCCGCAGAAAGCGTGCCAAAGGCAGTTTCCCGGAAACCCGAATGTAAGGTTGAGATAGGGAAGCAGAGATAGGGTTGGTTTTGGGTGGTTTTGGGGCATGTCTGGTAGTGTTCAGGATACTTCTGGCTCTGTGTTGGGGGGGTCTCTCCCGGTAGGCCTGGGAAGGGCCTTGGGGGACCATGGGGTTCTGGAGCTCCAGCCCGGGCCTCGCACACGTAAAGCATGTCCGCCAGCCATTGAGCCCTTGGCTCCACAGGGAACGTTGTACAGGCAGAAGTTGACCTGCTCAGCTGGCTGCAACGGAATCCCATCATCGCAGGTCTGAGAGTCGGGTGTTAATGTTCTTGGCACACTGGAGTGAATAAGATCATGGTAGTCAAGGGGCCGGAGTGATAGCACAGCAGGTAGGGCGTTTGCCTTGCACGCGGCCAACCTGGGTTCAATCCCCAGCACCCCAGATGGTCCCCCAAGGACCGCCAGGAGTGATTCCTGAGTGCATGAGCCAGGAGTAACCCCTGAGCATCGCCAGGTGTGACCCAAAAAGCCAAAAAAAAAGAAGAGAGAGAGATGAGTGAATATTGAAGAATGCGGAATTATTCTTAATTTTAAATGAAGAAAACTTAGACTATGAATTATTTTCATAAGAATTTACCTTAGTAAATATATCTTAGTATAGTGGGTAGGGTGTTTGTCTTGCAGCCGACCTGGGTTGGAGGGTTCCCAGAGCACCACCAGGAGTAATTCCTAAGTGCGGAGCCAGGAGTAACCCCTGAGCATCTCCAGGTATGGCTCCAAAAACGAAAGAAAGAAACATGTCTAAGAAATTCATGAATACTTTGGGCCCATGAATCTTGTGCGGGGAATTCTACCGGACAGTTTGCAAAAGCACAAGGGCTACTCCTGGCTTGGTGCTCAGGGGCCACAGGCTCCAGACCGGAGCGCCTCTTTTGGCCCCTTCAGATTGAGGGGCTGGACATGGGCTGGAAGGGCTCGGGCACGGTCACTCCCTAGTGAGGCAGGTCCCGTGTGCTGACAGACTCGTTACCTGAGCACTTCATTGTTTTCCATCTGGGCACTGTGTTCTGCAGCACTTAATGACAAGGTTTCATCCGTCCCCCAGGCCCTCGCCACACCCACCTTCCAGGGTCCCCCTGAAGCAGGTGCTGGGTCTTGGCTGGAGTGTAAACATTTGGGGGCACATACGGAAGTGTGCGATGTGAATAGCCTGGGTGGCCCTGGCAAAGCGGTCTCTTTTCAAGTCAGGCAGCGCTAGCTTCCCGAAAGGGTTCGGATCCTGGCGCCTCTTAGAGCAGAAGAATTTGGAAGTTTAGAATTCAAGTGTATGAGCCAGAGAAATAGGAGAGCACTTGGGGCACGTGTCTTGCACGCTGCTCATGCATGTGGGTTCGGTCCCTGGCAGCACGTACGGTCCCCTGAATGCTGCCCGCAGTCGGGAGACTGATGGCAGAGTGGAAAGGGAGGGGAGCCGAGTGCTTACTACACGGGTTTTCTGGAGGTCCTAGAAGTTCCACTCATTCAGCCTTCCGGTGGTGTGCACGGTAGAACTTGAATCAAGGCTCTCGCCATCACCATTTTTTCCTGGCTCTTAAAACATGCTCGAATGTAAGAAAAACGCGAGTGCCGTATTACAGCTTAGTGCGACGTAAGGAGTTGTAACTTTTACATTGCAGCTTACGGCAGAGATGAGAGGTGCCTAATTGACGCTGTTAACTTTTAGATGGTCTGTCTTCTGCTGATCCCAGCTCTGATTGGAATGCGCCCGCAGAAGAGTGGGGGAACTGGGTCGACGAAGGAAGAGCTTCACTGCTGAAGTCCCAGGAACCGGGTCCCGATGACCAAAAAGTGAGTAGAGGGTCGGTATGCTCGTCTCTGCGCCTGGCTCTGTGGGCGCCGTGGGCTGGGGCCGCCTTCTCTGGCGTCGGTGTGCCCGCCCCGCGGGAGGATTGCTTCCTGCGGGCGTGCCGCTTCCCACAGAGGGTGGGTAGGGTGGACGCGGCCCCCGTCCTCCGAGTGGACAGCCCTCAGTGTATCCCCCAGTTCCCTCAGAAAAGAAGTCTGAAATTGCGTCGGCACGAGTGTCGGGAAAATTAGGCTGACTATAAATAGACTCTCGGCCGCTTCCAGAGGCTAATTTTGGTCAGAACTTAAGAGGCCACAGCATGAATCGGGGTAATGGATAATGAGCTGAGCTGATCGCATCGGAGTGGAAGTTGCGTTTCTGAGAGACCGCAAGCTGCTGCTGGTCACTTAGTGGCTGCCGGTAGTGGCAAGAGTTGCCAGCCATTCTGGGCCGTCTCTGATCCTTGGCCCGGGATATTGAATACTGCTCAGCTCCAGGGGTTGACAGAGGCCCTTTTTGTTGGCTGGTTTTGAGGTTTGGGGTTGGGGGCCACGCCTGGGGGTGCTTGGGGCTTACTCCTTAGGGATCGGCACGTGGTGCGGGACCTAGCGGGGTTTGGCTGTGCACAAGGCCGATCCCTTCCTCCTGTACTGTCTCCCAGCTTCTCAGAGAAGCTGAGGGAATGGAACGGGGCCCCTAGGGCTCAGCACACACCAGAGAGAATCACGTGGGTGACTCATTTGCCTTAGAAATTGCTGGCCAGGTTTCATCCTTGACACTTGATGTGGACTGAACATTACTAGGGGTGTTCTCCCAGGCCGCCCCCACCCCCCACACCCCCGCCAAAGAAAAAAATAGGCAGATATTTGCGTATCTACCATGGGTCGGGTGTGGCTGTATTAAAGGGCCACCATAGTCCACAGGCAGCTGTATAAGGCACATCACAATGCAGGGAACCAGTAGCAGACGGACAGAAATAAGATACGGAGTCAGAACAGAGATAAATGGAATGATGACTAAAAGAAAATGCTGGCAACAGAATTAGAAGTGGAAGAGGTTTTATCTTTAGAGAACAAGTTCTAGGTTTGATCCCTGGCATCCCATATGGCGCCTTGGGGCTGCCAGGAGTAAACCCTGAGTACCACTGACTGTGGCCCAAAAAGAAAGAAAAGGAAAGCGAGTTGTGGCCAGGTGGCATTACACATTCATTTTGCTAAACTCCGTTTAGTTTTTGTTTGGGACCTTCCCAAAGGCCTTGTCCTCGACTCCTCCGGGCAGTGCCCATGCGTGATCCTAGACTCCGTGACAGTTTGGGGGTGTGTGGGTGTGGTGCCCAGGGCTTACTCTTTCCTGCCTGTGAGCTCTGGGGCTTGGGGCCATTCTGGGGTGCCAGGGATTGAACCCTGGTTAGCCGTATGCAAGGCCAGTACCACCAGTTCCTTGTTGTTGTTTCAAGTTTTGCTTAATTCTTTTTGGGGTCCCCTCGCAGCTATGCTCAGGAGTTACTCCTGGCTCCATGATCAGGAATCACTCCTGGTGCTGCTTCAGGGACAATATGGGATGTTGGGGTTCAAACCCATGTGCAGAGCTGGGATTGGTCCTTAGCCTTGCCAGGTATGGTTCAAAAGTTAAAAAAACCCTTCCTCGGGGCTGGAGCGATAGCAGAGCGGGTAGGGTGTTTGCCTTGCACGCAGCTGACCCGGGTTCGATTCCCAGCATCCCATATGGTCCCCAGAGCACCGCCAGGAGTAATTCCTGAATGCATGAGCCAGGAATAACCCATGTGCATCGCGGGGTGTGACCCAAAAAAGCAAAAAAAAAAAAAAACCCTCTTTATGTAACCAAGAGACATTGTTTCACAGGTGTGCAACCAAAAATGTCTCTCTGGCTGGAATCTTCCTGTACCTCATCCGAATTAGCCAATGGAACCACTGAATAAAGACTGACAGATCGTATCTTTCACACCTGGTAGACATCACAGTACCGTGTACTGTGGTGCCAGAGATCAAAAGACCTAGGACATCCCTTCCTTTCCCCCTCACCCCCCACACACGAAAAGCATGTGCACTAGCCCCCCTTAAACTGCCTCCAGGGCCTCAGTCTTTTTCCTTTAGGGGCACGCCACATCTGGCAGTTCCTGGGGGCCACTTCCTCCCGGGCCCAAGCTCAGGAGTTGTGGAGGCTCCTATGGTGCACCTCTGCACTCAGGAATTACTCCTGGCTGTGCTCCGGGGACCGTATGGGGTGCCGGGCATTGAACCCAGCTCAGCCGCGTGCAATGCAAACACCCTCCCTGCTGCACTCTCAGTATGGTCCCTAACTTGACAATTTTCTGTAGGGATTTCAGTTCATTGTGTCCTGGTAGTGCTTTTGTAATGAAAAGAAAAACAGGCCGGAGGGATGGTACAGCGGGTCGGGTATCTGCCTTGCATGTGTCTGACCAGGTTTCGTCCCCGTCATCCCATGTGGTCCCCCAAGCCCCACCAGGACTGATTCCTGAGTGCAGAGCCAGGAATGACCCTGAGTATTCTGGGTGTGACCCAGAAACCCAAAAAATCTGGCAGCTGGAGTGGTCGTAGAGCAGGTCGAGTCCTTGCTGCTCGCCCTGCGTATACGTGACCAGCTCGGGTTCGATTCCCCATACCCCTCACAGGCCCCTGAGCCTCGCCAGGTGTGAGCTCTGAGTGTCACTGGGGGTGGCCCAAAACAAACATGTGTGCGTATTATTGTGTGTATTATACGTATGTGTCTATACATGAAAATCTTCTAAAGTACTGTTCAGTTTTAATGCAAACAGTTCAGCATTTTGTGGAGGGAGGTTGGGCCACACCCAGTGGTGCTCGGGAGTGGCTCCCGGCGGTGCTCGAGGGACTGTGGGATGCCAGGGATCAAATCCAGGCCTTGGCGTAGCCGGGTGTGCTCTCTGAGACAGGTGGTCCAAGGGTGTGACTCTGGTAGGGCACATGCACTGCACGTGTGAACCCAGGTTTGAAACCCCTGGCATCGCAGAAGGGAGAAGTAGACCAAGACTGAGAGTTGGACTTTAGCAGGGGCTCAAGATAGGTGAAAATGTGGTGTGATGGAGCATGATGTTCCTCGCGCTGTGTTAGTTTTTAAATAGATCGTTTCACATCATTTTTATTATGTAACTTACATCGTTTTCATTATGTTTCTAACTTTCAGTGGAAATTGGGAAATTACACAAGGTTTTGGGTAAGACCAAATAATCCGCGGCTCACTTGGGTGCTTGTTTCCTAACGTCAGGTTTCAGATGACGATAAGGAAAAAGGAGAGGGGACTCTTCCAGCCGGGAAGTCGAAAAAGAAGAAAAAGAAAAAGAAGAAGCAAGGCGAAGAAAACTCTCCCGCACAGGTAGGCTGGGCTCGAGCTGGGCTGCGGGAGGGACCGCGGGCGGGGGCCTGGAGAGCCCCTGAGGCCTGTGGCTGAGGAGAAGCAGTCCCGAGGAAGGCGGAGTGTCTGAGAAAGTGCTGCATCGTGCCGTTCTAGCAACTGAGAGCGAAGGCAGGAGGGGCTGAGCGTGTGCTTTGCGTGCGAGAGGCCAGTCCGCTCACTGGCACCGCAGGGCTCCCAGGCTCAGCCAGGAGTGCTCCCTGCATGCCTCCAGGTCGAGGCAAACAAAACCCCTTCGTTGCTTGAGGGGAAGGATGTCCAGGACTGGAGCCGATCAGAAGGGAAGGCGCCAGCCTGGCGCCAGTGATGGCTCGAAGAACAAAACAAAAAGATGCGAGAGGAAAACCGACTCCAGTTGCAGTCTGGAGATGCGTCTGGTTTCTGGTTTTTTCCCTTTTGTCGAGGTGCTGTTAATGACCTTTCTTGCGTGCACGCGTCCAGTTCCACACACGCCACCAGAGGGCCCTTTTCCTGCACAGGAGAAACTTCAGCGTTTCCTTCCAGCCATACAAGACCCTGGGAGTGCTTGGAGTTTGGGGTTTGCTTAGTTTTTAGTTGCTTGGTTCTTGGTTTTAGGCCACACCTGGCTGATCTCGGGGGTTGATCTCGGGGATTCCGTCGCTCTTTTTTTCTCTTTGTTTTTGAGCTCCTTCCACGTCAGGGCGATCCCGGGGTGCTGGGTGGATCTTGTGGTACCCACATGCAGACATGTACGGAAGCTCTTTGAGGCGGCTCCCTGACCAAGAAGAGGGCTTGTCCTGGCCTGCTTGGTCGGGACCCCTGGGAGGGCCTTACTTGGACCAGGCGTCCGACTGGGGTCAGCCTCTTCAGATGCAAGCACTTGAACCTGCTCTCCTGTCTCTCCAACCCTGGCTCGTATTTAAGTTCACATTTGATTTAGATTTCTAGAAAAAGCAGAGGTGATTCTGAAGTGTTCCAGAGATGTCTCCATAGTATAAATCTGACTCTTGGTACCGTTTCTGAAATGAAATTCACTTTTTGGAATAACATCTGGATGTCAGAAAGCGTTGTGTGAGGGTGTTCTCTGAGCCGTGGTGGGAACAGGGAGGGCTTGTCACACTGGTTGGTCGGCCCGGGAGCACCTGGAACCTGAGACGGAGCCGGTCTGTGGCGGCCCTGCTTCGTGCTCAGGGCGTGCACCCATCGTGGCAGCTCATCAGCGTGGCCACAGGGACTGTCCTGCAGGGAACAGGAAATTCATCCTCGGTGCACGCGGGGCAGGCGTCTTCTAAAACTTTCCACCCATAAGCAAAACCATCTCTTTAAAATTCAGTTCTAAAGCCAAAGATGCTTATAATAAATCTCCGTCATAACAGTACAGCTCAGAAGGTTTTCATTAGCATAAATGGGTGCTTTATTAGCTCTAATAAGCTACTTTTCCCTCTAGGACGCAGAAGATTTAGAAAAAGAGGTCAAAGAAGAGCTCGCAGTGAACGCCTCTAAAGTTCATCCAAAACAGGAAAAATCTTTTTCTTCTTCGAAGACCACAAGCACTAGTGACCCAGCTGAAGCGCCCATCAAAAATAGCCAGGTGATTCTGTTTATTTCAGCAATAGAATTCTGAAGGCGTGGGAATGACAGCGTTACAGTTGATGCCAAACGACTGTTAAGCATTTCGAGGACACTGGCCCTGGCACCGGCGCCGTGAGAAAGAGGGAACTCGCTTGGGAACGGAGAGTGAGGTGTTTGCCTTGCATTCGCCTTGGCTGCGAATCTGGGTTTGAATCTCCCAAGTGCTGTCAGCCATGACCCCCTCCCTTCAAAAAAAATTTTTGGGGAAAAAAATAGTAATAATACTGAGTTTCAGGGGCTGAAGAGATAGCTCAACGAACTGAGCACATCAGCACATCCTTGGCGAGTAAGAAGTTGGGGTGCTGTCCTTGGCATCACGGGGGTCTGAGATGCAGCTCGCTGGGAGCACACACTCTGCCTGTGTGCACCCTGGCTTTGATCCGTGCCCCCTCGGCAGGCTGCCCACTGCCAGGCGCCCTCACGGGGGCAGAAAGGGGCCAGCAGGCAGCTCGGGAAGATGGTTCCTGCCTTGGCTTTCCGCCTCGTCTTCGGGAAGGAGAAAAGGAGGGTGCACCTCGGGTGCATCCTGGGGTGGCACTGTCCCCCGTCTGGGGATTGGGCCCAGGTCTCCCACCTGCGAAAGCTGTGCTCCGCCCTCGAGTCCGATTTCTAATGAGTTCAGTTATTGGAATCCCTTAAAGTGGCGAGAGTTACATGGTGCACACGTGTGCGCGTGCATGCGTGTGTGTGTGTGTCGAGAGCCAACTGTAACTCCGGGCTACACACAAGAAGCAGACGGCCCAGATAGCCGCACAGTGCTCCTGCTCTCACAGAGCAGGGTTGTCGTGCGGTCACTTGAGGATCCGCTTGGAGGAGCAGAACATGGCGGGCCTGCTGCCTGGCCCGGGCACGTGGAGATCTTTGTGTTTGATTCTGGTGTAGGGGCCACGCCCTGCGGTGCTCAGGGCTTATTTCTGGCTCCGCAGCAGTCAGGGAGCACTCCTGGCAGGGCTCGGGACCATTCCAGGTTTCGAACCCTGGTCAGCCGTGTGCAAGGCAAGTGCCCTGCTGCTGTGCTCTCTCGCGCGCTCTCTCTGACCCACCCACATGTGGGGTCTCATAGGAGAGCAGCAGAGAGCCACTTGGCGGTTGTTTCCTTGGGGTTAGGACCACCCCAGCAATGCGGGGCGCCATGAGGTACTGAGGAGCAAACCTGGAGGCGCCTCACTGAGCAGAGTGACTGCAGCTGAGATGCCCGCCACAGGAGGCCGGCCTCTTCCTTCCCCTCTGCCCTCCCCAGCAGTCCTCCTGCTCCCCTGCTCTCCTGGGTTGCCTTGCCGGAGTTCCAGGCAGTCCCCACACCCGCCTTTCTAGCTTGGCCTGGTTCTGACCAGGGGCAGACAACTTCCTTTCTGCGTCCAGAGAGCAGGCATCTTGCACCCGTGTTCCTCAACTTTTCTCTCTGGCTCCCTTGGGCCTTGTGTCCTTCTGTGGGCCCCCGTGCTATTGGGTGACCCCAGGCGGTACCTCCCCATTGATGTCATTGTTTCTGGTGGCCCCTTGGGGTACCTGACCAGGGGCCATCTGCCCCCAGTTGAGAGGGGCTGGTCTAAACCACAGAGGCGCAGAAATTTGCCAGAGTGGGTCAATCGGAAGGTTGGACCCAGAGTTCCCCATCACTTTCATTAGGGGCAGGGCAGGAAGGTGGCAGAAAGGTCTGCTTTGGTCCCTGTGGAGCTGGAGGAGGGCGGGAGGGAAGGGAGGGCTGTGGCGCGGTCCTTTGAGGACCCGCACCGCTAGGGGGCAGGCGTGAGTCGCCTCTGCCGGTGTGGGAGCTACACCCGCGGCCTCTCGGGTCCTCCGGAGGCATCCAGTGTCATTTTCCTTGTTTCCTACAAATCTGCGATTTCATTCCCAACCAGCCTCCCAAGACGCTTCCACCTGCTGCTTCTGCCGAGCCATCTGCTCCTTTATCGAAAAGCGATTCTGACAAGAGCTCTTCCCAAGTGCCACTGACGCCACAAGAGACGGAGAAACCCAAGTCCAATACTAAGCAAAATAGCGTGCCTCCTTCACAGAGTAAGCAAGCCCCCCTTCCCTGCTGGGTGTGCGCTCTGCTCCTGTCGGCAGCGTTGTCTCAGCGTCCCACTGGGCCCACGGCAGTGCGGAGGGAAAGGTGCTGGTCTCGCACGAGCCTGTGTCGCACACGGTCCCTGCGCAGAGCAAGGAGGGAGCCCCAAACCCAGAGCATGTGGTATCTCATCTCGGAGGTCCGCTGGCTCTCCAGAGCGGCCCTTCCTGCTTTGCAAAGCTTGGGGTCTTTGGTTGTGAGGGCAGTGGTCTGGAGCAAGGGATGTGGTGGCCAGGGCAGACTCGGGGCTTGGTAGCTGCGCTCGGCAGTGTGGCCTGTCTTCTGTTGTCCTGTTCTCCAGAGTGCAGAATTTTCTCCCGTCAGCTGCCATTGGTGCTCATTGACCCATATTCACTTTCAAATCTTCAGGCCAAGCCTCCTTAAATGAAACCGTTTTCTGCTTCAGAACTGCTACAGTAGAAATTGTTTGAGACGGTTCAAAGCAGACAATACGTTGGGATTGAGATGCACAGAATGAGGGCTGGAGCGATGGCATTGCAACAGGCAGGATGCTGGCCTGCACGAGGCCAGCCCAGGTTTATTGCCCAGCACCACTACCGCAGCTTACATTTTGAGACGTTGTATCGGTGGGCTTGAGAATGTGTTTTCATCACTGCTTTTTTTTTTTTTTTTCTCTGCACCAAGTGGTGTTCCGGGGTTACTCCTGGCTCTGCACTCAGGAATTACTCCTGGCTCTGCACCCCTGGTGGTGCTCAGGGGACCATATGGGATGCCGGGGATCAAACCAGAGTTGGCCGCATGCAAGGCACACCACCCTCCCCGCTCTCCCGCCAACCTGTGCTTTTCTGCTTTTAGGATGCAACAGCATATGCTATCCTAACTACTTTCTTTCCCTTTCAGCCAAGTCTGAAACTAGCTGGGAATCTCCCAAACAGATAAAAAAGAAGAAAAAAGCCAGACGGGAAACGTGAATTTTTCTCCCCTTTTTTTGCTGAAATGGACATGTGTTTGCTAACACTGTCTTGAAGATTATGCTGTTTATGCAATAATTTGTGAACATGTACAGAGTTTTATAGAAATTTAAACCAATTTTTAAAACTGTGAACACAACCACCATCAAAATGGAATCAAAGGAAAGTTGATTTATGGAATTCAGAGGTCAACAGAGTGTACCCCCGTGCTGGAAAGTGCTTGAGAAAGTCTCTTCAAGTTCATACAGACGACAGGCCTTGGTTGAAGAATATTCTGGTTTTACTACAGTGCCCTGTTTACAACAGATTGTTCCCTGTCTCGCCTGCGGCTGTGGAGTCAAGGGTTCTGACCGGAGCTCCTTGGACCTTATGCACGGAACTGACGCCGTTTGAATCTGTTTTATGCTTAAATCAAAGTGCTTTGATCAAATGCATAATCTGCCATATCTTTACATATATATATGTTGGTAACGGTTTGTATTCGAGGAATCACAAGTGCAAATAAAAAGGCTTTTATCGTTTGTGGAACCGAACTGTCCTGGTTTAGTTTACTAGTTTTAAAGAGTTCTTAAAGCATTGAAAACACAGCTGACATTTGTTTTATGGCTTACGAAGTTATTTTTGATAGTCTTACATACTTGAATTGTTCAAAGTTCAGTATATTTTAAATTAAAAAAGGTAAACTATATGTATTTGTTTAACACCTTGAAGGGTCAGGCTCAAATAATGCTCTTGTTTATGATTTAGAAACGTTCAGGCAAAATCCAATTTACACTTTCCTTCCCCGGCAGTTAACATTTTCAAGCATCAACTGTTTAATAGTAAGACTTTTTTTCATTCACAAATGAAAGATTCACAAAACTCGCTCTACGGAGAGTGCTTCGAGAATATGATGGAGAATGCGAAACGAGAGTCAGACAGCTTTAATTGACATTGTCAAGACCTCCAGTTATCAGGAATACATTTTTTTACTGCCTTAACCTGTAGTGCGTAAAATGTGCATCAGTTTCTTGGAGGGGATTCGTGTTTTTATAAGAATTTTCATGTTAATTATTGCAATCGTGGTCAAACAAGGAGTGTTTCCTGCTCGAAACTGTGTTGATTTCAATGATGTGTGAGGTGTTTCACCATTTTCAGGCACTGTGTAACCTATTGTCATAAGCTGGCAGGTATCTTTGTAACTATAAATAGTGCACGCTCGGCCATGTACACTGTAAATAGCCTCTACCAAACGTGTTTGACATGGACCATAAGTAGCATCACTTAGTGAATTGTGATCAAGAAGAAAAGCCATGATTTCTTTTTTTTTTTACGTGATTGGCTCAACTGCTTTCAAACGTGACACCCAGAATGACACCGTGTCACAGCTGTAACCATTGATACTGGGCTCGCCATCCACAGCCACTGTCGTCTTGATTAGATCTGCCTGTGGTTTGATAGGATCGCGGTGTCGGACTAGGAAAGCTGGAGAAACGAACGGCCTTAGTGTTGCTGAAGACCGGCCTTGCTCCAGGCAGCTTCCCTAGCAGGCAAGGACTAGCTTTGGTCAGGTGTTAACATCCGTTTCAGGAACACGGCGGTATGTTTACATGTCAGAAGTTTTTTGTTTCCTTCTATGGTATTTCTAAGTTGATTTGTTTAAATAAATTCAACAAATGGATAGCATTGTTTTCATTCGCTTCAGCATTGGGGGTGAGTCAGCTCAAGAGCCAGGGACGGGATCTCTCAAGACGCGGGTGCCAGGACGGCTGAGCTTCCGGCGCTCCGTGAGGTACCCCAAGGAGAAGCCGCTCGGGCTCTGTCGGTCGAACATGCCAAAAGCTCAAAGGATTGGACTGAACTCTCTCAACTCTACCTCACCGTTTCTTTCTCGGGATTTTGTTGGCTCTGTCACGCGTTGGGCTTTCTCTCTCCAGCTCGCCCCTCCCCCCCGCCCCAGCCCACGCCAGCTGCGAGAGGTGGGCAAGCGCCCCCCGAAGCTGGGGGAACCAGCTCGGGGCCCGGCGTCTCCCCTCCTGCTCCGAAGCTGGGAAGGACGCGCAGCTCACCTCTTAAGAGATGGCAGCTGTGAGCTGTAGAAATCAGCCGGTCCGTTGCTCCTACCTGGTTCCCAAGATCTTTATGTGAGCAGAACGCAGTGTCTGGCTCCCGAGCAGAGGAACTTAGCTGCCCGGACAGGTGCGGGGAAGGTCACTGAGCCCCTGAGGCTCCGGCAGGCCTGCAGGGGGAACCCTGGTGTCACTTGCAGACAGGGTCTCCAGAGAAAGGGTCTCCCGTACCTGCCCCCTGTGGGCCGGGGAGTAGGCTGCAGTCCTACCTGTTCCTTCGCCGGGACGAGCAAAACAATAGTTGAGAGAGTCCAAAATAAGGGATCTACGTAAAATGTTAATGTTATTTACCTTGTTTACTTTCTGCATGCATTTTCTTGGGGGGAGGGGCGGAGTTCTTCCGAACCTAATGGTATTATTTCATAGACTAATCTGGTTTGTATTTGAGTTAAAGATATTTAAGGGCAATATTTAACTACAGAGTTTAGTTTTTCTTAATTGGAAATGGTCCTTCTAGTGCGACATATCTTTTGAAATTTAGACTTTAGGTTTAAGATGTCGAGTAGATGTCTTAAGACTTTCCTGTAAACTCATTGCACAAACTGGAATTACTTTCCAAAAGACTTAGGGAATGCAAATGTTATTTGTAAAATGCATTGAGGATTGTAAATAAACCGTTTTTGTTTTGTTAAGTCGCTCCTCACAGTTCTCTGGTGGGAAGGGATTCTTGGTGTGCTGCCACTTGTCCTTGGAAACCGGCCTAATGGCCGTTGCTGCAGTTAGTTTATGTGGGACTGAGAAGGGACTTGGGTCCTGCCCTGAGATTCTGTGGGGGCCCAACTCAGCCCCAACTCCGGAGGCCGTGCTGTGCCAGAGGGTGGGGGGATCTGACTGGGGCGGGCTGCATGCAAGGCAAACGGATCTTCACCCCTGAGCTGCCCAAAGACGGTTCCTGTTCGGTTTGCTTAGTTTTTTCTACAGCCACAGGAACAGAGGAACCGGAGAGAGCACAGCAGACGGGGCGTTCGCCTTGCACTCGGCCAGGCTGGTCCCATCCTGTGGTTTCCCAAGTCCACCAGGAATAATTCTCGAGCCCTGAGAGATGGTGCAGGGGTTAAGGCACTTCCCTTGCATGCTGGCGTTTGGTTGCAGCTTTTCCTAATTTCAGAGACTGTACAGTTTGTAGAGGAAGAAGCTTTGACGCTTTCAGGAGCGCCAGCTGTGGCCTCCCTTCCCAAATGAGAAAACATTCTCTTTATTCCAGTAACTCATTAAAAGTGAACTTAACTTTCTTCATTACCGGGAGCCTGTGATAAGTGAGGTCTACGGCTCAGCTCAAAAAACTTCATTCAGGACTGGAGCAATAGCACAGCGAGGAGGGCGTTTGCCTTGTATGTGGCCGACCTGGGTTCGATTCCCAGCATCCCATATGTTCCCCCGAACACTGCCAGGGCTAATTCCTGTGCATCGCCAGGTGTGACCAGAAAAGCAAAAAAAAAAAAATCCGTGTTTGCCTACAAAATCCAAAATTCCTAGGAAAATTACAGCGTCCAAAGATAGATCCGGCAAAGGAAATCAGAATTTATCTCCCGCCCCATTACACAATTCTCACTTATTTGAGGCTCAAGGGATGGGGAGCCCTGTAAGAAGACCCTGTAAGTTTGTTCCATGGCATCGTAGCTAAGTGGGTCTACGGGACTGCTAGGATAGTATGCAGGGTGCCACCCCAGTTCCGTCACTGCCACTGCACAGGTCCACAACTTGGTGTGCCCCCCCCCCAAAAAGAAAAGAACAAACTTCGCCTGGGCTGTGGATGTGATGGGGCAGACAGCTGGAGCCCCAAGGTAACATCTAGGGACAGGGGCAAGGGGCGTTGAGAAAGGGACCTAGTACCCTGACGAGTGCCAAGTGGGCTGGCTGTCCGAGGCTCCCCACCTCCAAGCTCACTTCACGATCACGACCATCCTGTTATTCGTCGATTGCCTCGAGCAGGCCCCAGTAACGTCTCCTTCGTCCTAGCCCTGAGATTTTTTTAAAAAGTGCCATATTCAAGGCTGTTTCAGGGTTAGGAGAATGAGACCCTTCATTGTTACTGGTATTTGGCATATTGGGGCTGGAGCGATAGCACAGCGGGTAGGGCGTCTGCCTTGCACGCGGCCAACATGGCCGAGCCGAGTTTGATTCCTCCACCCCTCTCGGAGAGCCCGGCAAGCTACCGAGAGTATTCGATATGCCAGACACAGTAACAACAAAGTCTCCAATGGAGACGTTACTGGGCCCGCTCGAGCAAATCGATGATCAACGGGAGGGCCTTTACTTTTACTTTTTTACTGGGTACCCCACGGGGGATGCAAGCTCACTTAACATAAAAAAAGCAACTTTGTGTGGTAAGCCACCGAGATCATCTTAATCAACCTGCTCCCAAGCCAGCAGGGAGGATGGCGGGAGACTGGGGAGCTGGTGCCCACCAAGAGGCCTTGGCAGACTCAGGAGGCAGGCGGGGAGACGGCTGAGAGCAGGAACTCAGCTCAGCCAGGGCTAGAGGACTGGATGGTGGGGAAGGCACTGGCTTGCCTGCCCTGACCCCTGTCCACCCCAGCCCCACCACCAGTGAGCCCTGAACACCAAACGTCAAACAGTGTTGAGGGTTAGATGGAACCAGGGAGTGGCCTGGGCGGGGGACAGGGAGGGGGGAAGATGGCCGCTGAGACCCCCCCAGGCCTTGTTAAGAGGCTGCATTTGGGCTGGGGACATGCCTGGCAGGTACCAGGCTCCAGCTGCCATTCTTGCCACTGAAGGAAAAACAAAGCCTGAGATTGTATTTTTATTGTTGAGGGGAGCCAGGCCAGGCAGTGCTCACTGGGTGGGGGGCAAGGGGGGTGGGGAGTTGACCTGTCCCGGGGGGGCTTACAGCCAGTTTCAACCTGGTCCAATCTGGTTCTTACCTCAGCCGGTGATTGGGGCCCATTCACAACTGTTGGGCTCCTGCAGTGATTCCCTGAGGCTCTGTGTTCCTATCCCCTGCTGATGGACTTCTTCTTCCTCCGGTCCACTTCGTTCTCTCTGGGGCCACAGGGATAGGACAGTAGTGCAGCAGGTAGAGCTCTTCACCTTGCCCAGATTCAGTTCCCAGAGCCCCATTTGGTCCCCTGCCAGAGCACTGCGGACTGTGACTCAAAATTTTAAAAGAAATGTAATGAGACAGAGGTCATGAGCAGTTAAAACTATACAAATGATTCTTGTGTGTGTCTGTGGTTTTGCCACACCCAGCGATGGAGCGTAACCCAGGGCTCCTATATACAAAATGTTTTAGATACATTGAGCTCTCTCAGGGACAGGGAGGGAAACTCAAATCACCACCCCCCCTCCAAGGGGCCCCCCAGTGAGGACAGCCAGGCTGGGGCGGGGGGGGGGGGGAAGGAACTTCTTCGCTGTTCTCTTCCAGGACCTGGGTTTTAGTCTCTGGGTCTTGGCCATTGATGAGATTACACGGTGCTTGGGGGGGGGTGGGGGGGCAGGGGGCAGTTGGTGGGTGTGACCCCCGCCTACTGGAAGATGGAGGATCTGGGTGGAGGATGCTCAGATCCCATCAACGGCCAAGACCCAGAGACTATAAAACCCAGCTTCCGGAAGAGAACAGCGCAGAATCTCCTGCCCCCGTGCCTGGCTGTCCTCGCCGGGGCCCCTCGGAAGGGGGCGGGTTGAGTTTCCCTCCCGGCCCCAAGCAGAGCCCCAGCAGCCGAAGACCTCCAGAACCAGCCACAACCATGTTGAAACCTCTCTCCACAAGCATGAAGGTGCCAGCAGAGAACAAGGGCATGTGGGTCCCGGGGCTGAGATCTCCAAGCCTGCTTGGATCGGGGCTGAGCATCCTCCACCCAGATCCTCCATCTTCCAGTAGGCAGGGGTCACACCCACCAACTGCCCCCTGGCACTGTGTAATCCCATCAATGGCCAAGACCCAGAGACTATAAAACCCAGCTCCCGACATCTTATTATCTCATTCTTACTTTGGACAAACTGGCAGGCTACCAAGTGTAAACTGCCCACACGGCAGAGTCTGGCAAACTCCCCATGGCATACCCAATATGCCAAATACCAGTAACAATGATGGGTCTCATTCTCCTAACCCTGAAAGAGCCTTGAATATGCCGCTTTTTAAAATCTCAGGGCTAGGGCGAAGGAGACGTTACTGGTGCCTGCTCGAGGCAATCGACGAACAACAGGATGATCGTGATTGTGATCGTGATCGTGATCGAGCTCTCTCAGGCCCTAGAACCAGTTTTGATAGGGAAAGAGGACAGGGGACACATTTTTAGGAAAGATGAGTTATAGACAGGTGGGTGCCAGGGTGATCAATCATTCCCTCTGGGATGCCCTCCCTTGCAGCTACAGACAGTGATTTCTGGGGCTGGAGACATGGTCCAGTGGGTAGGGTGCTTGCCTTGCACACGTCTGGCCTGGGTTCGATCCTCAGCATCTCAGTTCCCTGAGCACAGCCAGGTGTGTGATTCCGAAGTGCGGAGCCAGGAGTCACCCCTAAGATCCACATGTGGCTCCAAAACAAACAGATGTCACTTCGAGGGCTGGAGCACAGGCTTTGTAGGTGGGAGGTCTGGGTTCCATCACCAGCATCACATGGTTCTTCGAGCACTGAGTCAAGAGTCTCCCAGGGAGAAGAGAAAGAGGAAGATAGGGAGGAAGAAGAGAAGAAAACACAATGTAAATGCTTTATATGGTATCATTGAAAACAGCTAAACTGGGTCCAGGAGATAAGAGATAAAGCACTGGTCTTGCATGCTGGGGTCCGGGTTTAATCCTGCATGGTCCCCCCGCACAAGGGACCCCCATGTAGTGTGCCGGGAGTAATTCGTGGGCACTCGGACTCGAGCTGAAAGAGAAATTCCTGGGCCAGAGACAGCTCAGCTATAAAGCACTTGCCATGCGTACCTGAGCTTCAATGTCGAGCACCAGAAAAGAGAAGAAACTTGGGTGGGAGTGACAGGACAGCATGGAGGGTGTTTGCCTTGCACATGGCTGACCCAGGTTAAATCCCTGGCGTCCCATATGGTCCCCCGAGCATCCCCAGGAGCAATTCCAGAGTGCAGAGCCAGGAGGAACCCCTGAGCATCACGGGACGTGACCAAAAAAGCAAAACAAAACAAAAAAAAAGAAAAAAAACTCTTCAGGCACAGCAAGCAAAAGAACAATGGCAGGACACTTGCCTTGTGTGCAGCCAACCCAGATTCAACTCCCCTCGCGCACAAGGTCCCCTGAGTTCTTCCAGAAATAATGGTACAGGTGCCAGAGTGTTAGTACAGAGGGTGAGATATTTGCCTTGCACCCAGTGGACCGGGAGTCAATCCCTGGCATCCCACATGGTCCCCTGAGCACTGCCAGGTGTAATTCCTGAGTGCAGAGCCAGAAGTAACTCAGCATCGCTGGGTGTGGTTCAAACCCCTTGTACCCCCCCCCAAAAAAAAATCTCTGGTACGGTTCCCTGCAGTTATCAAACCCAGAGCCAGAAACACAAGCCTGCCAGGGCAGGCTTGCCCAGAAGCTCCTCCGGGCATCCTAGTCTGGGCCTAGAGTCCGCAGTTCCTCTGCAGCTCTCCATGGCCAAAGCTCCTCTGCCTTCCAGCAAAGCCTCCTGGGGGGACCCAGCATCAGCCACTCCCAAATGCCTTCTGCA